ACCAACCGAACCGACCGACCGGGGCGCGAGACTCGGAGGCAGGCGGGCAGGCCTTCCCCCTCGGGCGGCTGTGGCTCCTTCTTCTCCCTCTCCGTTCCGTCCTTCCTCTTGTTTAGGCCCCGGTTGCTTCTCGGGTCGGCATCCGCGTCGAGGCCTTTCCTCCTTTTCCCTCCCGCCCTTCCTTCTCCTCACACAAACACCGCGTCGAGGAACGAACCTAGCGCGAGCCTCGCCGCCTCAGCCAATCAGGGCCGCGCGGCAAGGCTGCCTTCAAACCTCGCCCGGCCAATGGCGGCCCGCGCGAGTACACGTCAAGCCAATAGCAAAGCCCGAGCTCTTCTCGCTCCGCCTCCCTCTGCTCTCATTGGCCCAGCGCTGAGCCCTGCTCTTTTTGTATTTCATCGGCTCCAGTTGCTTCCACCCGCCCGCCTTCCTCTTCCGTCGCGTTTTCGTTTCGCGCCTGCGCAGAAGGGGAGGCCGCTCGCCTCTGTTCTCCCCACACACGCACAAAAAGAGAATTACAAAACCAATCGCGTCGTAAGCCTTCTTTGTCCTTGATTCGCCAGCTCAAAGGGGATGGAGGACTAAGAGCCGAATCCGGGACAACGGATGGCCAACTTGTGTTCTCATTGGCTTTTCAGGGCGTCAATCCCGCCTCCTGACTGTGATGTAAGGTTGCCTTAAGAGGCAGGAGGGAGGAGTATTGCTGTCTGGTTGGCTAATTGCTATGTCACTCTTAAAGCTACTTTGTAGGCGCAACGGCGGCGTTTGTAGGACAGCTGAAGGCGAACGCAGAAGCAGCCGCTTCGTGGGTGCGTGTGTCCTTAAAGGGACAGGCGCCCTTTGTGGCGGCCTTCGACATGGCGGTGGCTGGGGATCTGGAGCCTCCGGTGAGAAAGAGTTGAAGGGACGGGGACGTTGCTTGGTCCCCAAGAAGGGTGGTGTTGATCGCGCTACGTGGTCTTTTCCCGGCGTGGTTTTGTGAGGGCTGTGCTGTGGTGAGGGAAATAGCACTCTTGGCATGCTCGGAGGACGGAGGCACCCTCTTTCAGGATGACTTCGCAACTTTGTATCTGAGGAAGTGTGCTTTGCACACGAAAGCTTATACCTTGAATTAAACTCTGTTGGTCTTGAATTAAACTCTGTTGGTCACTGGACTCAAAACTTTGTTCTGCTGCTTCAGACCAACACTGCTACCCATCTGGATCTATCTTCGGAACTGTCTGTGTTTGTTTTATCTTGGCCTTCCTCACAGGGTTGTTGTGAGAGCAAAATAGGGAAGAACCTTTCTCTGTCAAATGGTAACAACCCTGTGAGGTAGGTCAGGCTGAAAGACGGAGAGACTGGGTGGGTGTCTAACAAATGTTTGTCTTAACATCAGCTTTAAAGGACTGGAGGCCACTGCTTCAGGGATTGAGAGGGGATGCTTGTTGTGCAATAACGAGGCTGGTGGGTTCTACATTTTGTTGCAAATTGGGGATGTGAACCAAAGTCGTGCTGCAGTTAGGCTAACACTTGTAAACCTTTGCTGTTGTGTGGCATAAGCTCATATGGGCAGGGAGCTGCCTAATTGTTGTTAGTAATAACCGTTTGTTACCCTGTAAAAATGCCGTGTGCATTGTCATGAGATGTGAAGGCTGTTGTGTGGCATAAGCTCATATGGGCAAAGAACTGCCTAATTGTTGTTAGTAACAACCGTTTGTTACCCTGTAAAAATGCTGTGTGCATTGTCATGAGGTGTGAACGTGCATTTCTCTGTCAGATCATTAGCCTGTCATAAGGACATATAAGAAGGGCCTTGCAGGATCCCATAGCTAGGGAATTCTTTGGGAGGGGGCCCTGGGGGGCCCGCCAGCTAATTAAATGGAAGTACAGCACAAGTGGTAAGTTGGAGCACTTTGGGAGCAGCGCAGGAGAGAGGGGGCCCAGAAGAAACATGAGGGGGCTGGCCCCCGTCGGCCCCATGTTAGCTACAGGCCAGCACATCCAGTTTCACACAGCACCCAAGCAGTTGCCGTGGAGGGCCTACAAACAGGGAGTGCGGGCTTTTCTCGTTGCTTCTGTATATGGAGACTCTCTTTGGTTGCCATGGCTAGTAGCCGTTGATGGACCTCTTCTCCATGAATCTGGCATAGCAGAGACCCGGGAGTCACATTTCGACTTGCCGTGAAATTTACCAGATGACCTTAGGCCAGTCAGTTCTCTCTCTCAACCTAACCTACTTCATGGGGTTGTTGTGAGAGTAAAATGGAGGAGAGAAGAACCGTGTCTATTGCCTGGATCTCCTTTAATAAAGGACAGCATAAAATGCACTAAATAAATAGATTAAAATTAGGTGAATCCCCTGGTTTCAATGCAATCTATAATGGATTACATACTGAAACTCTATCATTACTGCATTTATGACCTACCTTTTTGCTTGCTTCATTTTATCCTTTTCACCCAAGGCAGCCTCAAAATGTGTTCTGTCGCTCAACAGGGATGCCTCTTATCTGTACCCAACACCCTTTCTGCTGTTTGTCGTGCTAGTTCTTTGGGGGAGATCCTAGGCCCTTTAAGCAGAGAAAGTATTGGATTGCCAACCAGTGTAACTCATAAGCTGGTACAATTCTGGATATGTGTCTGCACTGAAATAAGCACTTGCCTGTTTCCCCCCCTTGAAATCTGTGATGACCGGCATAAGAAGAAGGGGATGGCAAAAGATGAGATTGTTAGTGTCATAGATGCAACGAACATGAAATTGAGCCAACTTCAGAGGACGGCGGAAGACAGGAAGGCCTGGCGTGATCTGGTCCATGGGGTCGCGAAGAGTCGGACTTGATTGTGCGACTGAACAACAACAGCAAAGGCTTTTGTGTGTCAGCACTGTGGGGCTTGGTAGAGTTAGAGGTGCTTCTTGTCTAGGAGAGAAGCTTTCTGAAACTTCAGGCCTCTGCATGTCCTCAGACATGATGACAAATTCCAGATAAGGAGGTGATAGAAGCTGCTGAGAGCTAGTTTGATGTAGTGGTTAAGAGTGGTGGACTCTAATCTGGAGAACCGGGTTTGATTCGCCACTCCTCCACATGCAGGCAGCTGGGTGACCTTGGGCCAGTCACAGTTTTCTCAAAGCTCTTCTCTGAAGAGCAGTTCTCTCAGAGCGTAGTCTGAATGGTGTTTGCTTCCCTGAGCCTTGGACTGTGTTGCTAGATCAAGCCCAATTTGCTTTGCAAGTGCATGTCCAGCAATTTGAAGCCGAGATCTGTTTTAGTCAGCTCAGTGTGTCAAATGTTAATTAGCTGCCGAACAGGCTTATGCTTGATGATGGAAAATGAGGCGTCTGTTGACATGGGAAAAATAGCTGTTTCAAACGGACACTGGCGTCATGAGTAAAATCTCAAGCTGTGTCTCAGCAAAATACAGATTAATCGATTTGGTGAAAGATTCATTTAGATCTCTTTTTGGGAGGGTGTTTTAAGCAAAGGGATGTTAACAGAAACCTTTCTCTTTCATATTAAGAAATATACTCGTGTCACTGTTTTGATTGTGAATGACTCAGCTCCTGTCCCTGGCTGCTTTTTGTAGCTGTCTGCTGGATCCTTGTATTTTTAATAACAATAGTGCAAAGATGCTCTGACCTGGCTACCCCAATTTCGTCAGATATCTGAGGCGAAGCAGGGTCGGCCTTGTCTAGCATTTGGATGGGAGATCTCCAAGGAATACCAAGGTTGTGAAGTGGAGGCTTGTTGTTGCTCAGTCACACAGTCGAGTCCGACTCTTTGCGACCCCATGGACTACATCACGCCAGGCCCTCCTGTCTTCTGCTGCCCTCCGGCGTTTGCTCAATTTCATGTTCGTTGCCTCGATGACACTGTCTAACCATCTCATCTTTTGCCGTCCCTTTCTTCTGTTACCTTCAGTCTTTCCCAGCATCAGGGTCTTCTCCAGTGAGTGCTCCCTTCTCATTTGGTGGCCAAAGTATTTGAGCTTCAGTTTCAAGATCTGGCCTTCCAGGGCACAGTCAGGGTGGATTTCCTCTAGGACTGACTGATTTGATATCTCCTTGCAGTCCTAGGGACTCTCAAGCGTCTTCTCCAGCACCATCATTCGAAAGCATCTGTTCTTCAGCGCTTGTCCTTCCTTATGGTCCAACGCTCATGGGCAATGGCAAACCTCCTCTGAATGTCCCTTGCCTTGCAAACCCAACAGGGTCCCCATAAATCAGATGTGACTTGGCAGCCCTTGCCACCACCGCAAGTGCAAAGAAACATCACTCTCCTAGGCCGGCTGATTCACAAGGTCTTGCCAGGTGGGGAGGGCGTCATTCCACTGGAGTTCTTTTGGCCAGCAGATCTGATGCTGAGCACAGTGTTGCTTCAGATCGCTGCCTCTGGGTAGCTGCAGATTTGTGTGAATATCTGCTAGTGGCAACTGCAGCATGGAGCAAGGCCAGAATGTCTCTGTTCTTGGCAAAAGCACGAGATGTACCAAACGGCTTGAGAGCCAACCTGTTGTATTGGCTAGAGTCGGAAAAAGAAGAGCACTCACAGTAAATAATGATAACCAGAATAGAAACTGTAAATAGTAGATGCTAGAGGTGACAGTATGTCTATATTATTAAATAGTAATATGCTTATGTGCAACAGTACACAATACTGTATTAATATAGACATACTGTCATCTGCAGTGTCTACTATTCACAGTCTCTATTTTGGTTATCGTACTGGCTAGAGTGGCAGGGCCGGACCAGGGAGATCCAGTTGCAGCCCTCCCTACTCTGCCGTGGAAGCTTACTGGATAACCTTGGGCCACTGCTTCCTTCTCCGCCTGATCTACCTTGCAAGGTTGTTGAGAGGATAAAATGGGGGAAGGGGGACCATGTATATCAACCTGAGCTCCTCGGAGGAAGGCTGAAAATGTAATAGAATGTTGACCGAAAGAATTACGTTTGGTGTTTTATCAGCCATTGCTGTAATCATTGGTGCTTGGTACAGTCAGGACCTTGAAGCGTCTTGCCCTTGTAAGAGGTTCTTTGTAAACTGGCATTCATATGCACATTCAGGGCATAGACTGTGGCATCAGGGAGTGAGTCCTGTATGTTAATAGTTCACCAAGCAGCACCACCTGCAGGCAGTGTTCCCTCTAAGTTGAGTTAATGTGAGATAGCTCACAGTTTTTTAGCCTCCGGCTCACAGATTTTTGTCTTGGCTCAGGGAGGATGGCTCCAGAGCAAAGTAATTTATGCAGCAGCCAAATCGCTCGCTCACAACTGTAATGCCAGAAGCTCACAAAGTAGGATTTTTGCTCACAAGACTCCACAGCTTAGAGGGAGCATTGCCTGGAGGAAGTTTGCTTTTCTAGCTGCAAGTGATCAAAACGTTTTGAATGTATCTGTGGACTGTCCCACCCCACCCCCATTTCTGACTGTAACCTGCTTTTCGACTTTTCATTTTTTTGTTGTGCTTCATTTATACCTTGTGCCTTTCTCCCCAGTGAGGATCTATAACACCTTGTGTTGTTCTCCTCTCCTCCGTTTTATCCTTAGAAGAACACCCCTGTGATGTAGGTTAGGCTGTGTGTGTGTCACTGACCGAAGGTCCCCCAGCAAGCTTCCATGGCAGGGTAGGGATTCGAACCCGGACCTTCCAGATCCCCATCTGGCCCTCTAACCACTGCACCATGCTGGCTTTCTTCTTCTCTCTGTCAGTCACATGTTCATCAGCTATCTTGCTGCTTTGTGTCTCCATTGGTGCTCCTTAGGCCTGTTCCTTCTTTATTGTCTTCTTATTTCTTCATCTATGTGCAAAGTTCTACGATCCCCCCCAACAGCTTCTACGATCCCCCCAAATTGGAAGTCTTCCCTTTTTTTGGTGAATATTATGTGACTGTATGCCTAGAATTCATAGTTGACTTCTGGCGGCCCCTAGTGGGGCTTGGACGTTTCAGAGAGGTGGCTTACTATTGCCTGCCTCTGCGTTCCAGCCCTGGTATTCCTTGGAGGGTCTCCCTTCCAAGTACTTGCCAGAGCCGGCCCTGCTTAGCTTCTGAGATCTGATGAGATCGGGTTTGCCTGGACTATCTAGGTCAGGGCAAGTCTTTCTTCTTCCTGTTGGCCAGATGCCCAAAAGAAGAGGGGCGAAAACATTTCCTGTGCCCCCTGTCGCGGTTTGCAAGGTGCTAGCCCACTGCAGATTGTGAGTGGGTGTGAGAGTATCAAAGAAGACGTAAGTCTTATAGGCTTGGTGTAAAACTATATCCACCGATATATTGCACAGAACGACAAAATGCTCACGCAGACACCAGGTTTCCATCAGGAAGGTAAAGTACACTGTACAGCATCACATTTATACTAGCATTGTCCAATCAGGACCCAATGCTGAGTCACTGTTAATTAGCTCTGCTATCAACTAGACAGAACCAGTTGGAGCCAGTTCTACTGACACTCTGAGCTGTCAGCTCCTGTCAAACAGATTGATATGATCTACAGCCAGACTTATAGAACACATGGATGTTGGCACCCCCTGCAAAATAACAATTTTTATCTCTCTCAGGGCGTTCGTCGTAGTTGTCACAGATCGGCATCTTTCACAGATGGACTTTCAGCGGCCTCCTTCACAGAGTACCCTCGGCACAAACCTTTCATTAACGCTGACTTGCGGCGGTCTCCTGGCAAGCCGGTAATCGCATATCCGGAGAGTAACAGCAGAGGTAATGTTTCCACCCAGAGGAAATGCGGCATCTAAATTGCGTTGGGAATAGGAGGCAGTTTGTATATCAGCTGGGAAGATTCATAATCCCAAATCAACCTGAGATTGCCATCTCCTTATCTAAGTCATGCCCCCCCCCCCTTTAAGGTAAGGTCACGGGTACCATTTGTCAGCGTAAATTGATGGTCTTGCTTGGAAGTGGCTTCCTCATTAGTCGCACTTTCAGGCTCTTTTGATAAAAGGACCATGTGATCAACACTAGTTTCAATTAGCTGAACATTGTGATTGTGGAGTTCTTTTTTTGAGGGGGGGGATTTTTTCACCCTTTTTCTTTATCTTTGTTTCTCTCCTCCCTGTATGTCCAAAGTCAAGAAAAATAATTGTAAAATGCTGGGTCTTTGGGATGGCTAGTTGTTTGGTGTAGTGGTTAAGGGTGTGGACTCTAATCTGGGAGAACCGGGTTTGATTCCCCACTCCTCCACTTGCACCTGGCTGGATGACCTTGGGCAAGCCATAGCTCTGGCACAGCTGTTCTTGAAAAAGAGCAGTTTCTGTCAGAGCTCTCTCAGCCCCACCCACCTCACAGGGTTTCTGTTGTGGGGAGGGGGAAGGGAAAGGAGATTGGAAGCCGCTCTGAGACTCCCTTAGGTAGTGAAGGGCGGGGTATAAATCCAATCTCTTCTCTTGTCTCTTCTAAGCAGTGCTTCTTCATAGGTTGTTAAGGAGGGGTTGTAGTTCAGTGACAGAGCTTCTGCTGAGCATTCAGAGATTCCCCGGTTCAGTTCCCAGAATCTCCAGTTGAAAGGACTAGGCAGTAGGTGATATGAAAAACCTCTACCAGGGACTCTGGAGAACGACTGCCAGTCTGAGTAGACAATACTGACCTTGATGAACCCAGGGTCTGAGTCAGTATCAAGCAGCTTCATGTGTTCCAGATCTTTCGTGCAGGTCATGTACGACACAGCCCCCCCCCCCACCTCCAAGGTTAAGCGAGTTGTGATGAGTAGTGGGGTCTTCTTTGTAGGGGTGCTTTCTCTGGAATTGTTTGCCGAAGGAGGTTTTGTCAGGCCAGTGTGCTTGTCATTTTTCATAGGCTGGGCATCGTTTTTTGTTTCACATGGGCCTTTTGGAGCGTATCTTGTCGTATTTCAAGCCTCGGGGTCCTTTCACAGCCACGACTATGTCCAAAACATATAAATTTCACAGCAAACCGTGCCGGTGGCTCTGGCCGTTTTTCAGACCACTGACCATATTAGCTTCACAGCACGCCTGAGCGGTTTGATTGAGAGAAAATGGCCAAGCCTTCTGTCGCCCCAGAAGATCGCACTAGGATCAACGGGTTGACCAGAATCAGTGGGTTGAAATTAGATCAGAAGAGTTTTCGGCTAAACATTAGGAAGATCTGCCTGACAGTCAGACCCGTTCCTCCGTGGAACAGGCTTCCCTGGGCACGCGTGCCATCGCCCCAGCCAGGCCCAGACCATCATTAAAGTGTGGAATTCTCTGCCAAATAATTTTAAGTAAATGAAAGCACTTGGGGTTGCTTTTCTTACTTTGTTTGGATCATCTTATGTTAATGTATGTGTTGTTTTTTTCTAAAGTAAAACCTCAGTATTCAGGTTAAATCGCCGTGTTGGCACTTTGCGATAAATAAGTGGGTTTTGGGTTGCAGTTTGGGCACTCGGTCTCTAAAAGGTTCGCCATCACTGGCCTAGATGGCCGTCTGACAGCAATGCTGATTCTGTGAACTGAGGCAGATCATGGGAGGGAGGGCAGGAAGGGTTGCCTCAGTGCTTAGTTCTGGTGGCTTTTTCTTACGCGCCCAGGGAAATGCTGATTGCCACTTTGGGATCAGGAAGCCATTTTTCTCCGTGCCCGTTTGGCCAAGGATCCTGAAGATTTTTTGGCATCTTCTGGGCGTGGAACAGCAGTCACTTGGGTGTGGAGGGGGGGTATTTGTGAATTTCCTGCATTGGGCAGGGTGTTGGACTAGGTGACCTTCCAGCTCTATGATTCTAAGCCTAAGACAGCCGGTCGACTTTGGACTTGGATGTAGGTTCTCTCCTTCCCATCTAAACCATCAGCCTGTCCACTACCTTGGCCTGCTTGTTGGCAGACGGGTTTAAGTATATTTGGCTTCTCCCGTTGTCAGCGATATTCTCTGCTCTGAAGAACCTCCAGGAGAAGATTCGGCGGCTGGAACTGGAACGGATTCAAGCCGAGGAGGACGTGAAAAGCCTGACGAAGGAAACCTCAGATTACAAGAAGGTGTTGAGTGAGCAACTGCTGGAGAAAGAGCATTCGAAGCTGGAGGTGGCCAGGAAAAATGAAGGTACTCCTGCTTCACTCCCTTTGCTCAACAACAATTTCATTTTATTTTAAAAGAAAACTTATATTCCACTTTTCTCCGTGGTGGGGACCCAAAGCATCTTACAACACCATACTCCCCTTTTCCATTTTATCCTTGCAGCAACACTCCTGCGAGGTAGGATAGGGTAAGAGGGAAAACGGTCGGCCCACTCACTGTCTCCCCATGTAATCTTGGCCCATGGCCCGGGACAGCCTTGGCACTCACAGCTGCGTGTTGTAGGGAACGATTAGGAGTGATGGGAAAGCTGCTTGGGGATGGCAGCTTCTCCTCCATTGCTGGTCTTCTCTGAGTTTCTGATGAATCCTCGAATTCCTAGTCTGAAAACGTAACTAAATGTTGACCAGAAAAGCTACCAGACCTGGATAGCCCAGGCAAGCCCGATCTCGTCAGATATCAGAAGCTAAGCAGGGCTGAAACCCTGGCAAGTACTTGGATGGGAGACCTCCAAGGAATACCAGGGCTGGGCTGCAAAGGCAGGCAATCAAGCCACTTCTCTGAATGTCCTCCATGCCCTATTAGGAGTCGCCAGAGGTTGCCATGACTTCCAGGTGCGCACACACACACACAAATTTTTAAAACCCCAAAAAAGAAAAGAAAAGCTACCAGAGTTCTGCCTGGAATCAGCAACTCCCTTGCTGCCTGGGTAGACTTGAGCAGAATTAGAATTCAGAGCACAGTTCCAGAAGCTGCCCAGTAACCACAGTTACCCGATTGTTCTTACCGTTAGGCCTCACCGTGCAGTAGTCGAGGTTGGTGCTTCTTGTCGGGTCTCTCGCTTAATGTATCTGCCGTTGCTCAAGGCCAGGCTTGAATAGCTTGGCATCGGGCATTACACAGCCTGATCTTTTTTGCCGTATGTCCCTGCAGTAGCCCTTCTGGTTCTTGATGTGTTCCTGGCTTCTGTTGGTTGCCCCTCCGCGCCTTATCTTTTCTCTTCTGGGCCCTTCTGGATTTGAGGAGTCCATCCCTTGTCCCTAAGTTCCTGTTAAGCCATTGTAATAATAACCCCAGTAGGTCCCACCTCCTGTGTTGGATCTGCGGCATGCACGTTCACCTCTCTTGAATCACTTCCATTTAGAGAGGAGGGGACTTTGCAGTAGCTGACTTCTGGGTGTCATCAGAAATTCCTGGCCATGGTAACTAATCTTCTCTCATTGCCCTGCCTCCAGAGCTAGCGTCTCAGCTGACTGGTGCTGAAACTCGCTGCAACCTGCTAGAGAAGCAGCTAGAATACATGCGGCGAATGATAGAACAGGCGGAATTCGAAAAGACGAGCGTCTTGAGAAAGCAGGTATGGCTCACTTGGCCGCAGGATGCTTGACTGCTTTTTTAAAAAAATTCTTAACTAGCAGATTTGGTTTTCATGTTTAGCTTTCACAGATCATCCAAGAAGAACCTGCTGCATCAGCCTGTCCCGGGTTCTGCGATCCAAGCCTGGGGCTCTCCTGTGGGAACTGACCTTAACTGAAGTTAGACTGGCTGGGACATATGTGAGAGGCTTTTTTCT